ATATATATATATATATATATATATATATATATATATATATATTTGATATTGCCTTGCAGATGTATTGCAATCAATGTTTTAGGCTACTCAGTTATCATGAAGTAAGATTCTTATAGTCTAATGTACGATATACGAATTGAACGTCTCACTGATCATTTAGCAAAATTTATATTTTTTAAACATTAGAACAACGAATTATTTGTGGCGGGTATTTGAACAATAATAAAAACTGTGTGTTTTCTCTTTTCAAATTTTATCGAATCCATCAAAATATTGTTAATAAATTCATTTTTAATCATATATTTGTAAATAAAAAAATTATAAAAATATATTTTTCAAAAAATTTTTTGATAAGTATTTAAAAATTTTAAAGGAAATAATTATGCTACTTTTTCAATATTCATGAGCACATCATCTTTTAAACGAGGTAGCATTTTTAGTTTTAATTAATTTTTAAAAAGAAAAAAAAATTTATTTTTATTAAGTTTGTTCTCAATGTAATAATTAAAAGCTAAGCAGCACATCGATACAAATATGATTTTTAGTAGATTTTATATATAAAGAATTCTCGAAATATTCTCGAAAAATTATAATTTTATTATTATTATTATTTATTTCGTCTTTTTTATTATTTTTATTTTTATTTTATTTTCAGTTGATTTTTAGGGGCTGTAAATAATAGCAAAAAGAGGGGAGGGGATAATAAGCATAAAATGCAAACATTGTTTCGTTAAAAGCACAGTGTTTTTCAAATGTCTCAGAAACTAAAGAGAAATGAATGAATTGTGCTGTGAAGATTTTCCGTAGTTGTAAACAATAAATTAGAAAAATTGTATTTTATCAAAATATACCACAAAATATATATCTTAAGTCATTTATCGTATACTCGCTACCAGAGTAGAGTGGGGATATGGGCAGAACAACGCATCGAGGAATATAAAAATTATTGTCTACTCCTGATTACCAAGCAGAGCAATGCTCGTTAATCGATAATGTTTACTTATTTATTTCATTTATTTATTTATTATTTTGTTCAATTACGTCGAGGCATTTCTACTTCCTTTACTTAATTTGCATCTTATTAAAGGTACGCTTCGAAAATGTCAATTCATTCTTGCCATTAACGGCTTCTTGCCATTCTGGCTGCACAAGCGAACGTATGAATTATAATTGAGAAATATGCCAATCGCTTTATAAAGTTTTTAAGTTAGGGACGAGAGACAGTGCACGAAACGAAGATAATAACATAGTCGTAATATCATATGGCAAGGCAAACTCTTCATTTATTCTGTAAATTCGTATAATTCATTCTTTCAAGGGAAGATGGCGAAACAATACGCCATCATCGGGTGATTTTAGTAAAGAATCGCGTCAGTTCACGTACCACTCAAAAGTTTGAGAAAAAAATGCTGTTTATAAATATTGTGAACTCAAATAATTCTGATTAACATTTTAATAATTGACTATCAAAATAGCTTCCATATCTTTGTTTTAGAGTCTCTTAGCCCTTGACATCCGTTAGTCTTAAAAGATGTATTATGAATGTAAATAAGTGCGGACACTGTGCTTTAGTCATCAGAAATATTCTCATTAGCACCAAGAAAGCTTTGAAATAAAAATTTAATACAATTTTTATAGCCAAAAATCAAATCACAGATCAAAGGAATCGGGTGGTGTGGGCTTCATCGGTAACACCCCGAAAGGATCATCAATTAATATATTCTCTTCCTCGTCGTTATCGTCGTCATCGTCGTCGTCGTCGTCGTCATCATCTTCGTGATGAAATTCTCGCTCATCACCATGAAAAATATATTCTTCGACGTCGGTATCGTAACAAGTGTCTAAATTGACTTCATGTAAATTCAAATCCAATTCGAGGAGATCCCAAGAACCACCAAATTGGGCTAAGGGTATAGTTGGTGTCGTTGCGTTCGCATGCAGGTTTTTCTCTTTCGCAGAGTTTGTAGGCGATTGTGGTACAAAATCGTTCGAAAACGTATCCAAGTCGTGAGTTTTGAATGTCAATTTGGTAACAGAGGGTGAAATATTTGGCGTGGGTGTTTCTGGTGTAGCCAAGGAGTGTATCACCGAGTCTTGCAATACATCGGATTCGTCAATAAATGAACGTCCCACTGAACTTAGAGAGAATTCTAAAAGTTTTTTCTGCGACGACTTTTGTGAGTTTTCGGTTAGCGTTAAATTTGTTGTAAGATTATTGTTATCCGTTTGTTTGAATGTGAATAAAGAAGCGCTAGTTAGACAACATCTACCTTCAGAATCTATAAGTAAGACCCGTTCTTCCGAAGATGAATTATCCGAACAATTTTGCCTTAAGAGTAAGGCTTTAAGCTCATAATTAGAGTCATTACCAGTTTCTATGGAAGCCTCTGGTATGGAGGTGAGGCACTTGCAAGAGGGTACATGATCGCCTGAGCCTAAAGTTTGCGTATTTAAACTACTGCCGCTACATGATAATAAATTTGTGGAATTATTATTGCTGGCATTATAAGAACGAGCGGCCGATAATGGTCTGCCTTCTAAAGTTTGAGGATTAAATAAATGTCTACGACCGCAAGAAAAAGAACGCAACGAAGTTACACTATCCCCGGGTATACCGAGGCAAGCTACATTACCGACCCCTCCCATAGATCGCCGGTAGCTGGCTGGTGAATTTGTTTGCGAGGAACAGGATACCGAAGCCTGAGTGGTTTGTGTCATGCGTGTGCTACAGCGTGAGGCTAAAGTGCTGGCAAGACGTTGCAGATTCTCAAATGAACCGCTCACGTCACTACCATGTAACAATTTGTTACTATCTCGTTGTAGACGCACCTGTTGGTGTTGCTGTTGTTGTTGTTGATGCTGATTTCGTATGTTTATGCTATCCATGGAACTGAGTTTGATAGAACCTATTGAAGCCGAGGCTACGCCAATATCACTGAGAGGCACCAAGGTATTCAAGACATCGGGGGAATCCAAAGGGCTAGAGAGTGGTGTAGAACCTAAAGCAGCGTTTACCAAGAAGCTACAAACAAAAAAAAAAGGGAACGAAAAGAGCCAAAAGATCGTTGAGAAAAAAATAAACGAAGAAAAGTTATGCTTACATTTGCCGTTGTAATAAATTTTGCCAGACAGCCTTTAATTCTAGGGAAGGCGCTCTCAATATTAAGCTCTTACGTCTGGCTCCTTTTTTGGGAGTTTTTGTTAAGTCCGGTGCGCAATAACCGGTAGGACTCTCTGCCAAACGACCATTAGGATCCACTGTCAAACGAAACTCGGTAGCTAGGAAAATAAGAAAAGAAAAGAAATTAATGTCGTTCTCTTCTCCTCTTTCTTACCCGCACTGACTTTTTTTTCTCATATGAAAACAAGAGTCAACGATGTTTGCGATTGGTATTGGCTCTTCGGTTATAAATAAAACTCGATCTCTGCTAACTTTGGCAAATACTATAATATCACTGAATAATAAAGTCCAGTAAGGTTTCACCGATCTACCCTCCACTCTAGACAAATCACCTCCGAAAATCCATTGTCTTCCTTGCACAGCCAAAGTGAATGGTTTGCATTTCGTGAAAACCATACGTGACTCGAGGTCTTGCAAAGTCAGTAAAGGTCTACCCTCGCCCAAGGGCTCCATGAGACCACTACTAACAGTAATCTCGCGATAAGCTGCTTGCAATTCGCTTATCACCGTAGTGAAATTCTTATGTTCCTCTGTATCTACATGACAGTTGGAGGCTAACAATTGCATTAGTTTTAAAATTTCGCGAAAATGCTGTAATGGACGGTGTATGAACATAGTGAGATCCGGTCTCTTACGCGGCACTGGTGGTTCGGTGATAAACGATATAAATTCGGATCCTGTTTGACGTGATTTATTAACCAGCACACAATCGGCCCTTTTAATGCCATTACAATACTTTTTATACGCTGCACAGATGGCAGTTGTCTTAGACAAGTACACTCTTGAAGCGAAATTCATTTGCGGCTCTTGATCATCGTGACACAACTGCTCTAATATATCCTCAGATATTCGTAGCAATTCATCGATATTTTGAAATAAAGTTCGATGATCATTCGGTGTGATCAGGTCCTTGCGCTCTTGCAAGGGCTGCACAAAACGTTGCATACCAAAATGTAAAGCGGACATAAAATTTTGTTCGCGACTTATCAGCTGCAAGAGAAATTTGCGACGATTGTCGCTTATCGGGGCGATGGACTGGAAATGAAGAAGAAAAAGAAAGCATAATTTATTAGATCTTCAGAAAGAAAGGAACGGCTAGGTCATTTCCCAATAAGTTCAAGTTTTCAATGCAATCAATTGCAAGTCGATCAAGAATTTTTCCTGAGGTCCCTATCCACCGCGCAAACACACCTTCACTTCGTGTAACACGGTGACACGATAGTCAGAAAGAAGTGAAGAAAGAGAAAGAGATAGGAAAGTGATGGCCCCAGCCTAGTGGATGTGTTCCCTGTCAGGAAGTGTTATGCCTTCGCTGATTGAATGCTCACTACTACTCAGCTACGACCAAAGTAAAGTTTATCGTACTTGAAATTTGAATACCGACTTCGTAGTCGTCACTTTCATCTACTCGGCTAGTCATGCGGCTAATTATTCAAAACCCGACAGAATTTACGTTTCAAACATCCACGTAAATAAATTAAAAGTTAGTAAAAAGTAAATGCTCCTCTTATTTTATCGTCAAAGAATTTACAAAAATTTCAAGAAATTTGATGGATTTTGATAGAAGATTTGTAACGAACTGCATATTTTGCCGTGATGTAGATCTTTCATTATCTGATAGATTCTGGAGGGTTGAAATCTGAAAAACTTAAAACACACTCCTAGACATAATATTAAAGCAATTCAAAATTGGGAACCATAATGAGAAGTTTCGTGAAGAGTTACATGAGTTTATTCATCTTTGAGGTTATATGTGATTAGCGCTGTTTTCAGACCGTGAACTTTCTGTACGTGTTTCGATATACTTTTTCTTTTTCCTCGGCACAGCAAATGTCGGTGTCAGTGAACGAAAAAATGATTAGCTCTAAGCTGCTGAAAGCGGGTGCTTTACGTTACTCTTTGCACGAGATTTTAGCTGGTGTTGAACTGTTTGATAACGGTTTGCTTTTCGTACATTTTTTTCTTTTTTTTTTTTGATCAATAGAAGTACAAGTCGTGCTGATCGTTTTATGATTCAAGAATAGGTCCCTTTACATCTTCTTGGCAACGATTGGGCATTACGATCCAGATTCGTTGTGGCAACACGCGAGTTGTTGAAAGAGCATGGAGTGTATCCAGCTTTTGCGAAGCTTCTCAGCTTTACAACGAATTTCGATGACTGATGGAAGCTTGGAAGCATTTCGGCACACACTCGTCACATTACAATATTTTTGTTGCAATGTAAAATGGCAGGAAACATTTATTTTATTCAATGTCCTTTTTGTCTACAAACTTTACTACCCTTAGGCAGGTAGAGGCTGGCAAGTTTACCATTTTAGGAAAATTTTTTATAAAGGCTCTTGAAACATGGTGTTCACATAAAATCCCATTCAGAGATCAGAAAAAATTATTTAAGTTTTAAGGTTTCATCCCTATCATGATTATCTATAAAGTTTCAAAACTTGCTCCTCCCAACTCGTTCAAAAGAACGCTTCTAAAGGAAGCGTAGATTAAAATTTGATAATTTGGAAGATGATTAGACAATTAACTCCATTGTTGCCATAAGTTTCGCGAAAAAAAAATCCGAATGTTACCATATGAGGGTTTACTTTGCATAAGAGCATTTGTACGGATACTTCATAGAGAGAGTTCGAAATTCGTCGAAATTCAGCTCAGTAAATTTACACGACATTTTAATACTTGGGAACAATTTTCGTGGTGATATTCTAAAACTTGGACCTGTTTGCTACCAAAAAGATGAACTGTCTATGGTAGAGTTGATTTGGAAGCGTATTAAACAGTTTGTTCTTTCAAGTCTAACTTTTTAGCATCGACTTATTAAGTGAGAACGCTTAGAAATTTTCTCAGCAATTTTTTTCGATAAATATGGAAAATGAGAAATTTTTTTTTATTTATATATAAAGTCGAGGCTTTGTAAAAGGATTACTCCTCGTACGATGAGTGTGATACAAGTTATTTTCAATGAAGTGCACTCTTGAGCCAAATGGTACCAAAATTTCTCAAATTATCTCGAAAATTGTCTCTTATTGGTTGAACACAACAACAAAAATACATAAGCAGATGTCGAGCAGATGGATAGGCAAAAGGACAGACAGGCTTCCAGAAAGTGATTCTAAGTCGATTCTCATATGGTGGTCTGGTGTCACAAGCGATGTAAGTTACAACGACATTGCTTTTGTTGGAAGAACGGTTTGTAAAAAACGCAATGAAAATTTGAAGCGGAAGTAAAATGCACTTACTATAAAAATCTTGTTCACCTTTGCTTTTCGTCAAAGAACTGGATTCGCGGTACAAACAGAAGCATTTTTATATTAAGAGGGAATATATACTCCGTCTTGTGAACGTAGAATAATATTAATTATCGAAGAATTAGTTAATTTTATATTTGCTATAGTTATGGATAACTGGACTAGCCTAATCTAATCTAACCTAACGTAGTTAGCCTTGCTTGAAATTGCAAAGACTATGGCTATTTTAAGTAGAAAGTAATGTTTTTTATTTAAAAAAAAAAAAAAAAAAAAAAAAAATAGAACAAGTATTGATCTTAAAATAATTGTCAGCAAAATAGGTACAAGATTGATTAAATTCTGATTGAAATTGACTTCATCAACAAAAATAAAAAAAAAGGCATTCGAGGAGCAAATACTTCTCTTACTTCGATCGTAATTGAATCAACAACAAGTTTAACTTAAATATAACCGCACCCCTAGGCAATGGCATACTTTATAGGTAATTGAACTAAAACTTGAAAAGAAAAAACAAATAGCTTTTTTTTTTAAATTGTAATATGTTTTTTATTATGCGTTAAAAAGAAAATAAAATAATATATAAAAATAATAAAAAAAAAAAAATCGTATACTAAAACACAAGGCAATGGTGTGAATGTTGTTCAGTGAAAATTCAAAAAAAAAAAAAAAAAAAACAACAAAAATGTTAGTTCATAAAACATTTAACAATTCAAATGATTTTCTAAAAGTAAAAGCGAACGAAATATGCATTAAAATGAAGAAATCAGAAAAGAAAACATAAACAGAGTCATAATAATAATTTATAAATAAAAAATAATATTGAAAATGCATTTTTTTCTCTTTCATTTTAAATAATAAATATAAACGATTACTTTAACAGGTTTATGTATATTAAACATATTCGCAAAAAAAAAAAAAAAAAAAAAAAAATATTGTAAAAAATAATTAAAAATTTATAAAAAAAAAAAATTATATTATTTAAGGATATATATAAAAAAAAAAAATCAAAAAAAAAAAATTCTAACGCAACAAGAACTTGCTTAAAATATTTTGTAATAAATAAACTATAACGTAATCAATAAAAATAATGGTTAAAAACGAATATGTTGAAAAGAGCAAATTAAACAAAGAAAAGGAAAAAAAAAAACACAAATTGATAAAGAAATAAATAAGAAGTATGCCTTATAAATGAAGAATTTAAATATATATGTATGTATGTAAGCCATACTTTAGCCTTCCGGGTGTTTCGCTTGGCCAAAAGTATAACATACTAGGACACTATAATAAAAATAAAAGATTAAGATGTGATTTTTAAATTTTGTTAAAAAATTTCCTATCAATCCTTTCTTTCTTGTCTTTTTTTTTTTTGCAGTGCATTATTAAATTACTTTATTAATTAAATTGAAAACCTTTTCGATTTGTTTCTCTCGCCAGGTATAATAATTTAATGTGAAATGATTATATTAAATAATAAATAATTATGCGGATTGTGTCTAAGCTAAGTTTTGAGTTAAACCCTGGAATAATTTACGAGAAGAGATATGATATGAAATACTTTTTGCCCCTGTTTAGCTTTATTCGTCCCCTTGCGGCACGAAAATCGGCAGTTTTATTTAATCTATCATAATTAATATATATAATTAGTTTTTCTGTCCAATTTTCAATGTTAAAAGTAAGTCATCCTGCTTTTAAGCTAGGTTACGTTTCACTTCAACGCACGTGGATAGCTCTCCAGTTGGCCTCCCAGTTTTATTTATTATGCGACATTCGTTGAAGCTTGTTTTAACGAGTAAAAATAGCTTTTTTTGCCTTTACCCTCTATTTCAAATAAATCTATAAATTTCCTTTCGATAACAATTTCGACCTCTGCCATATTATCCACACATTGCTTGAAAAGTGCCGTTCGATCGATATTCGTAGCAAACCAGTAGGCACTTTGGTTAACATGATGGATCTGGTAACACATCAGAGTCAAATGCATTGTGCGTTTGCTGGCTATGCTGAACCACTGTCGTGAAGCGAGTTTAACTGATCAAGTTTACGAAGCGGTTCTGGCGCTTTTTTGGTCAATGTAATGTTAAATTTAATTAAGCATTTCACCAGGTTTTAGCTGCTAATAATATAATTTATCTACTCGATCCTAGTACCTAGTACCAAAGTTTACTATCTATCGGGGAATATTTGACTTATCTACACATATACATGTTTGTGCTGCATAACTTATTATCTTTTAGTATATAAAAATGTTAACTTTTCAAGAAAATTAGGCATAAATCTGGCCATTTCAAGTACAAAAAATATATATGAGATTGTCGCTTGCAGATTTGCTCTTGCACATAGTTAACAGTGCGTTTGAATGCCACTAACGGCGAAATGCCATCTCTAACAAACACCAGCAATTCATATTCGTTGAATCCGCATCAATATGCGGACGTGTTGTTAAAGAAAGCTCGAGCTAGGATGTACAGTTCACCACATCATTCAGAATTCAAAAAACAATATCGAGGTGAAGAAGAAGTCCTCGTCCGTAAAATTTTCACTTTTGACTCGAATACGTACTTTTTAAGCACTGGACGTCTTTGCGTTTAGTTTGTGGACTATTTTGGCGCTTATTAAATTGCATTGCCGCAATCATTGAGCAGGGAAATAGTTTCAATGAATGAATCAAATCAGTCAAATCAAAGAAGACGACGATACTACGACTACTATTGACTCAATAGCTTCATTAGTAGTAAGTAAACAATGCTGCCATTCAGTGAGCAATTAATCACAAGTTTTTAGCAAGGTTGCTTACGTGTTATAAAATGTATTTCACCTTCTCATACTTCAACCACCATAATGCCAGGTTGGCTGCAGATACAATAAGTTCAATGTAAACGGGCTTTGGCGCGCGAAATGCCGTATAGTTACACCTTTTAGAGGAAGATTAACTGCATTTTTCTGTTTGCTTTAATTCGTTGCAAAGGAAAGCATTATAGTCGGGCAAGACCGACCGAATTGCCAAATAATAAAAATTAAAACGAAACATAAATTTTTTCATAGGATTACGTTTCCAATATAAAAAGTCTTGAGGAGGATTCATCCTTGGAGTAAAACACGTCAAAGCACAAGTTTCGTTGATTGGACGGACAGACAGGCGAATAGACAAGCTTATATCGATTCAGAGAAGGACTCTGCATCGTTCGTTGTAATAAATCGTTAGGCAATTTTTAGTTCTCCTGGATGTTAGGTGCATGCACGAGAAGCTAATATATCTTGCACTGTATCGCTACCTGTGATGTTAAGTGTAATAAGTTTTAACTTGTGTAATTAAAACTAAATTTAATGCATAAAAAAAAAATTGAAGGATATAAAATATATATGAGCTAAAAGTGAAAAATTATTATCTAAAAATTAAATAAAAATGTATTGAAAATGTTTTCTTGCATTTTTTTTTTTCTAAACTCCTTGAAACCATTTTTTTTCTTCTGTTTGTGGAATGTGCATTTCGTCAAAAATGTTAACATGTTTTCATAAATTTGAAACACTACCTACCTACTTTAAAACCTACACTATAACCTCTCTCTCTCTCTCTCTCTCTCTCTCTCTCTCTCTCTCTCTCTCTCTCTCTCTTCGTTGTACTCTTACATTCTCCCTGCTTAATTCATACTATATCAAAGTTTTTTGAGAAAAAAAAAAAAAACAAAAAATTCGTGTTTCTTTATTCAGACAATAACACCTTTGCCTACCTCTTTACTAAAGGTGACTTGTGGTAAATTTAATCGTCTCTTTGCAGCCTCTATCGATGAACTGGTGCCCATTGAACAGGCAGTAGGTGGCCGTGCCACCGATGCTGGTTGCGCTGCTGCTGGACCAACAATCGTACGTTTCGTTACATTATTCGCATTAATACACAATTCTTCGCTGGCCGCGTAATTACTGTTACCGCTTGGTATGCGTGACATTTTGCCGTTCATTGGTAACGTATTAGTCGCATATGAACGTGAAGTACCGGCGGCACTGGCGGCACCACCACCCATAGCACTGCCAATCGCCGTACCAGAACCTGACCTTCTGAAAATCTCCAATGTTAGGGTGGCACCCTGTGATCGTATTAAATTCAGAACATCAGCTTCTGGCATTGTTACCACATTATGCTTATCAACGAATATAACATAGTCACCGGGTAATATTCCGCTGCGATCTGCCGATAGGCCTGCTTCAATTTTTTCAACTCTTGGCGGATGAGTCCAGACAATAGAGAATCCGAAACCGCGCTCAGCTGTACGCGTCAACTTTTTGGTCATAGTAAACGGTGTACGACCCACAGGTTTTGAACCTGAAGAACGCCGATCACTTGCTGCTGGTGTCGCCTGACCGGCCGTTGTCGCTTCAGTACTGTTTGGTGGATCCAATTCCAAGAAACGTAAAAATAAGTTCTCATCAGCATCGCGTTGATGTAAAGCCTTCTTACTTAAAACCATGGGTGCTTGGTGCTCACCGACCGCCAATGGCTGAGCCATGCTATCGATGCTTATGACATCGTCATCATTGCTACGCATTTGTGTAAAAGTGTTAGCCATGTTTACCGAGCACGTTGTTCTTGTTGCTTTTGCTGTTATTCGATTCTGATTCAACGATAATTGTTGCTGCTGATCTGATTGTTGCTGTCGTTGTTGTTGTTGTTGTTGTTGGTGCTGTTGCTGATGTTGTTGATGTTGTAATATATTACCATAGAAATGATGAGACGCTATCAATGGTATGGCCGGTTGCGGTTTATTTACACATTCTTGCGATTGTAATTTATAAGAGCCATTGATTTCCTGATGCAACAGAGTGAGTAACGGAAATGACATGCATCCCAAGAATTCGCTACGCCTGTAATGAAAAGAGAAAAAAGCAGAAAATAGACAGAGGAATTGAAAAACTGACTGAGAGTAAAAGATTTCAAATATGTGATAAGACGTCTCATGCGAGAAAAGCGAAAAAAAAAATGTTTTGATAGCTGTTCAGCGAAGGAAATTAACATAAAACGTTTCTTGCTTTTATTTCATTTCTTTGTATTATTTCGTTGACATAAAGTACTAAAACTAAATATTTATATATCGCCTTGACCGATAGTGGCTGAATTCTTATCGACCAGCAAGATACATTAACTTGCATATATCGCATTTATATGCTGCTATTTCCATTAAAATTGTATAACTTTTCAAGTTGCAACCAAATGCGTAGAGAGATAATACTTTCATTAGTTTTTTCAATAAAAGTTAAGTGCTTAAACTGCAATGTATCCGAGCAGATGAAAAGATTATAATCACTTTAAACTGAATTTCGGATGGTCGTTACATTGAAAATTGTAAAACAATTTGTTAACCAAGATATCCGAAATATTTATGCCCTATCCGCTTTATTGCATAGTATATATATTAAGTTTGTGCGGTAATTGCATGCCTGATGGCTATTCATATGTTTTCGTATGCAACCTATCGAGCAATATGTTTAAGATATTTCGATAAAATGTTGTCTGTTTTGGGCAAAAGACGATTGCGATTAAAAATGAATTTTTTAAGCGAATTATTTTTACGATCACTTCCGCTATACAAAGTCCAATTTTAAAAAAGTCATTATACGAAAACAATTTGCATCGATAAACATCGATGGCATACAGTACTGCACAGTATTTTCGCATACTAAATGTACGTGAAAAATTTGAATGCGATAGGTCCATTTTTGAACGCTCATCCACGCAAGCGTCAACATCTAATAAACAATACATTGTGACGAAGACTGTAGCACAATAATTGCATGATATATCAATTAATTGCGCTAAAGTTGGTGCTCTTTTCCCCATTGCCCACTGCCCATGCCATTGCCATGTCAGGGATCTTGTGGCAACACAAAATATCATATGGAAACAAACTCAAATATTTTGGGCACTTTGCGACTAGAAAATTGGTGTAAATTAATTAGTAGTCGATCTTATTTAAACTATAGCGATTTATTTAGTGCATTTTGCGAATTTGTTTCGTTCATAGCCAAAATTGATCTGTTACCTTGCACCATATATTCACCAAATTTCAGGGTATCATCTTTGTGACTATAAAATTTGCAGCAATAAAGTCTTTGCATGGGGTAAATATTGCATAAAAATCCTAAATTAAAGCTAAAAGTCGATTTCTTTCCTATTCTATCGACGTAGATATCATCGCATTGAAGTGAGATAATAAAAATAAATTGTTCACGTTTAAAGTATAAAATATTCAGTTTAGTTAACAATTTTTTTTTCTCATTTGATATGTTCTTTCAATTCAGATGGCATTTACAGTGCATACACTTTGTTGCATAACAATCTTCTATAAAATCAATTGGATGGAAAGAAAGTTAATAAAATAACAAAACGTCATCGTCAGAATTGATAGAAAGCTTCAGCTTGTCATCGCTGTGTGGTTTGACCAGCAGTAATGGATTGGAATAAATATCAACTAGCTTGATAGGGAGAAAATTAAAAAATAATACATCTTTCAAT